CTGAAATACTAAATATGAAAAATAAGTCCACAACAAAAAATCCAAAACAAAATCCTTAAACCAGCTAGGCAAAGTGGCACACACTTATGATCCCAGCACTTGGGAGGCTGATCACTGTAAATTGAAGGCCAGCCTGAACTACATAGGGAGACCCTATCTCAAAAACCAAAAAAACAAAAACAAAACAAAACCCTTAAATCAACAATGAATTAATAACAAGTTTTAAAAACTTTACCAACACCAGGAATTTTCAAAAGAACACACACTGATTTACCAGTGGCCATACTGAGGATGCCTTCTGCTTCAGTTCCACCTACAGACCCATCCACAGACTACCCCAAAAACATATGCAATGGAAACAATGTTCCTGCTAAGTAAATATCTTCAAGTCCTTGTGTTAGGAGCTAGCTCCTTTTGGAAATTGGCTTGCCACATAAATGTTTCCAGGTTTTGTGGTGCTCAAATATGCTTTTGGAATAGGTTTCTAGTTTCTTCTCATCTCGAACAAAGAATTGGAGGAAATGAGTGAAAAACAGTAGCAAAGTTTATTCGAAAAAGTAACAGTAAAGAGTGAGGGAGAAACTGGCTCTTCAGAGCTACCTAGTAAAAGAGGAAAAAACAAGATAAAAGTACACCCTGGGGAACACAGGGCAGGCTATTGTGAGGAAAGCTAGTGAGCTCTTTTTGGTGTCTGTGTCTCTTAATGCTGTCTATATCTTGAGGAATCTGTGAGAACTTCTACATATGGGTCCTGAGAGGCGGTGCTGGGATCCCACACCTCAGGCCACTTCAAGTCCAGGCCATCCTATTGAAAACCTGCTCAAGTTCTCTGAGATATCCAAGTTCAGGGATTGGTTTTTCATTTGTTTGTTTGTTTTGGGTTTTTTTGAGACAGGGTCTCACTATGCAGTTCAGGCTGGCCTTGAACTCGCTGTGTAGCCCATGGTGGCCTCGAACTCATGGAGAGCCTCTTGCCTCAGCCTCCCAAATGCTGGGATCACAGGTGTGCGCCACCACTCCTGGCTAGGGGTTTGGGAAGTGTTCTGCTCAAGTGTTCCAGGATCTTGTAATTAACAGGTCACTCCTACTTTCCCAGCGAGTTTTGCCATGCCCTAATCTCCTGTCTCATACCTTTCATTCACATTTTTAACTCAAATATTATCTTACACAGATATTCTGGACCCACCAGTGAGAACTAGCTATGTCTTTCAGGAAGCAGGGTTGAGCTGCTGGGACAGAGACTTTATGCAGCTGAAACCCAACAATATTTACTGTTTGGCTCTTGACAGAAAATACATGGTGAACCCTTTATTGCAAAGTTGATATGCATTGATTTATGGCACATGTATTTATTAAACACCTGCTATATACTAAGTACTGTGCTCCTGTTTTCTATGTAAGGGGCTTTCAGACAATTGAAAGAGACAGATAGCTAAAATGCTTGCTGATAAGTGTGAGCTTAGAGGCAAAGCTAGGTTGCCGTGTGTGAATGGGAGGTACTAACCCAGAGAGGGGAGACACTGCCAGGAAGGGACCCTTCTGATTGAAAGCATCTGAGTTGGCCCTGGATGGTGAGTAAAAGTTAGTCAGGTAAAGTGGCAGAACACCAACTATAAAGGCACTGAGAAATGAGGAAGCTGCAAATGTTTCACAGATGAGAGGGAAGAAAGGCCAGACACCTTTGTTGGGTTGATTGTGGGGTGGTAGATGAAAGAGCGGTCATTAACTTACTAAGACAGCATCAGATGGGCCCTGGGCAGGAGGCAGAAGAGTGGTTCAGGAAGGTGGAGCACCAGGAACAGCCCAGAGGAGGAAGTCGAATCAACGCTGGTGATGGCCATGCCCTGTGAGTCCGTTTTCACTGACAGAGACCTCAGCAGCTCTGCCAGGACCGAGCCTCTGCTGCAAGCTGAGCCTCCAGAGCAAATGAATATAAAACTGAACTCTTGATTAATCTCTCCCAAACCCTTTGCAAGTAGCATCTAAAATTCTGGAGATTATTAAGCCCTTTTCCAGGAATAGAGATAAAGATGTAAAATGTAAAATGCAAATCTCGACGTTGATGGAGATGAAAACACTGCCATTTATCCTGAGTAAAGTACCATGGGACAGTGAGCCAACAAATTGCATCACAGCCTTTCCAGTTTTAATTTACAGGGATTTGGGAGAGAGGAAAGCATCTCTAAGATCCTTTAATATTATGGGCTCATTTTGTGCATTCTAAATGAAGCTAGGGAAGAATATAAATAGTAAGAAGATATGTTTTGTCAGCTTTGGAAAATATGTGCTCTTCTCTTTTAGTTGAAGTACATCCTGCTTTGTAAGATGCATATTTTTTAAGTAATTAGGTGAGAACATTGTTATACATGTATCACTTCTAGGGCAGGGATTTCCCCTATTTATTGCCATTTGGTGAGTTTTCAGATTTTTTTGCTTGACTTCCCTGAGCCTGAAGAAAGCTCCAGATTGGGTGTATCTTGTGGAAAGCCTGGCTTCACTGTCCACATCTTTCCAGCACCTGTGGTCTAACTCACTCCCGGCTGCCTTGCTATCTCGTCTCCACACAGGGCAGACCTGTTCACTTTTTCTATTTTTTTTTTTCCAGTACTGGGAATCAAACTCAGGAACTTACACTTGTCGGGCAGGTGCCACCCCATGGAGCTACATCCTGGCCCCTGTTCACTTTTGTTAATCTTTTTTTTTTTTTTTTCCCCTGTTCACTTTTGTTCATTGTGTACTTCCTAATGTCTAGCTTAGTGCCTGGCATGGAGTACAGGCTCAACAAATATTCTTGAGGAAATAAATCCGAATGTTATTGAAATATATATATATTTCTTTGTTAATAAGAACATATAATTGATTGTGTGTTCGTTAGCAGAGAAAAAAGGGCAATTCTGCTCTACAAGCATTTTTAAGAGACAGTCATGTCTGATTAAAAAGTTCAAACTATGAAGAGTTTTCTCTTAAAATGTGGCCTTATTAAATATGTAGTATTACATCATGCTTCAAAGCTTACTTTCCTTCAGTACATACTTCTTTGAAAGTGACCTTGTACTATTTTTCTAAAGATTTTTACATTAAATTTGTAATAGGATGAGAAAAATGGATATACAGCCTTTTCAAATGGGAAGGGGCTCAAGAGTTGGAGGGAACAGGGAGGAATGGGGGGGAAGGGGGACAAAAATAAATAAATATATGTTATGTACATGTACAAAGCTCCCACAATAAATGCAATCTTTATGTACTTCAAACAAAAAAGTTAAATTAAAAGAATGTTTTCTATATAAAAGGAATAGCAAAATTTTTGAGAAACAAAATTTCAAATTCAAATTATTCTTTCGGGGGTTTTTAGGTAAGATGCCTGTATATGCATAAGATGCAAATATGTATTTATAGAAAAGTAACATTTCTGTATTCATAAATGCCCTAGTGTTATGGGAAAAATAACTCCCAACTTGTTAGATGTCAGATGTGCTGAGTTCATGGTCTCACAACATTGAGGAATGAAGTCACAAATCAAAGGAGGTTAGGAAAATTTTATTTGAAATAAGAATAGTTCCTGGGTTTCCAGAAGGGGTCGGGAGTGGGTCGCCCCACTCATCCAGAGCCAATTATAGTGGAGGGGAACACAGGAATTGCTCAATTGTTTAGTGTCCACCTATCACAGGTGGCTCTGAAGCAGGAAAAAGAAAAACAAGTCCTTCCCATCCTTGGGGAATCCCTACCTCATCACCCGCCCTCTCTTGTAGCTGTAACTCCTTGTTCTGCTATAGATAAAATTGATAACTATGTCCTATAAACAAAGTTTATGGCACTCTGTTCTCATTTGATTCATAAGACACTGTTTTCTTACAAGGCTAAATTACAAAACTCTCTGCCCTTGTCCTGTTTTGGTAAACTCACTTGCTGTGTTACTAGAAAGACAAATCCCCTTTGAGCAAATGTATAAAAACTGGAACTTTTCTTTGTTTAGTGCTCTTCCGTTGAGCTAGCGTTCACCTGAAATAAATCCTCTTGATTCCTGTTGGTCTCTCCTGTCTCTTGGAATTCTACAATTTCTCTATGGATTCAAAATGACCAACTGGAACTCAAGATCTCTAACCCAGTACTTCAAAGTGTAGGGTTTAAAGAAAACTGGGATTTTAGAGAAAAAAACCTGGTTATTTCACATTTTAAGTTCCTCAGAGCTCAGGAGCTTAGAAGGGAACATCTATACCTCCCTTTAATAAGGAGTGGGCTGCACCCCATGCAGCCTGAGGGAGTTCATTCTTTCTCCTAGTTCACTGACTATTCTTAGGTTTTTGCTGGTCATCCCACTCTATCTCAGGGCCTTCCTTTAACTAGCTGCGTTACTCATAAGCTAACTAACGTATTTTCTACACTAGGATTAAATTTCTTTTGAAATAGATTTCTAGGATTGTGAAAAGCTTGAGGTGGTTCTGGCAAAACATAATTTTGGGGAATATTTTTTAAAAAATTGTTTCTATGCCTCTGATCTTCCTTCTCCCATACTTCACTTTACTGGCTTTATTGGAAAATTGGTTCATTTCAACCTCATTTTTACTCATAAAGTTTTGTGGCCAGGAGTTCTCAGTCCAGTCACCTGCTTCTCGAGGTTTAGAAGCCGGATGTGTGATGTAAAAGCAGCAGCAGCAGTAAGCTTTCTTCTTTAGAGACAGGGACCCCAAGAACACAGCACCCAGGGCACACTTGTTGGCCGTGTAAGGGAGCTTAATTGTGCGCTGCTACGGAGGTGAAACGGGGATAACCTCAGCGGGATGTGTGAGGCAGCGCAACACAGCATTGGAGCCGGGACGACCTAGCCTGCCGAGCTCCAGGGTGCACCGCCAAGCGCTGGGAGGCTGCGAACACCTGAGAGCCAGCTCGAGGACTGAGACCATATTTCCCAGAGTACCGTGCGCGGGCCCCCCCCTTTCCCCGCCCCGCCCCCAGGCTGCGGCTCCCGCGAGCCGAGCAGAGAGCACGCCGGGCGCCGGCGGGGGCGGGGCCGCACCAGAGCGCGCGTCCGCGGAAGCTGCCGGAGTTCCGAGTTGGAGGCGCGGCTGCCGCCTAGGCGACCGACGGAGGCTTGAGGCCGAGCCCCGAGGTAACGACGCGCTCTAGCGGTCCCTTCGTCCCGGTCGCTTTGTGGGCGCCATCAGCCCTGAGCCCGCGCTCAGCCCCGCGACGTCACGGCTCGGACCCCGCCGGGCAGGTGGGGACGTGGACGGGCAGGGACGCGGAGACCGCGCTGGGCGCCCCCCGGCTGGGGCCTCCGTCCCGGAGTGACAGGACCACTGAGGTTGACGGGACTGCCGCGGGGCACAGGACCGCGGGGGCCCGAGCCGCTCCCCAGCGGAGACAGCGCTGTCCCTCGGAGTCCTCGCCAGGTCGCCTCCGCAGCCTCCCGTCCGGCGCGCGCGCGCGGCGTGCAGAGCTTTCCATTCAGCTTCCTCGTTTTCCGCCTTCCTCGTCGTCGCTGTGAATCTCTTCCTTTGTCCTGTGCTTGCCGGGCGGCACTTCGGGGGCGGCTTGTGGACCTGCGCGGGGACAGTCACCTGCAGGCGCTCTCTCCTCTGCGCGCCTCCCCTCACGTGCGCCGGGGCCGCGTGACTCGTGTTCCTTTCCTCTACGGGGACGTCCCCCAACACCCTCAGGGTGGGCACCGCGGGATGGACAGCTTGGGGTGAGCCCAACACCTGCCAGTGCTGTGGCGCGGGCGGTGGCTTTGGCATCAGCTGCTGCTCCGACTTCCGCCCGCACCTCTTGAGTTCGTCAGTCACACTCCTGACCCACTTAGAACTTAGCCGCGCTGCTCATTGCAAGCAGGATACCAGATAGTACCAACACAGGTACAGAAAAAGTCTGAAGACACGGATTCAGCTGTGTGCACTTAGCTTCTACTCTTTTTCTTTTTGGTGCTGGGATTGAACCCAGGGTCTTGTGCAAGCTAAACCTGAGCCCTACCCTACAGCTGCATCTCAACCCTTGAAAATTCATCTTGAGATGGGATCTGGCTTGTCTAACCTGGTCTTGAATTTGCAGTTCTCCTGCCTCAGTCTCCGAGTAGCTGAGATTACAGGTATGTGCCCCTGTGCCGGGATCCAAGAGTAACTTTTTGAAAACAAACAAAAAAACCACCAATGTTTTCTATTTAAGAAGAGGATGGGGGACTGGGGATGTAGAGTTTCAGTGGTGGGGTGCATACTTAGCATGTGCCAGGCCCCGAGTTTAATCCTGAGCACCACTGAGGGAATAGAAGAAAAAGTGGGTAGTTGAATTTTGACCTTGCTGCAGTATTTTAAAAATAGATTTTATTTTTAGAGCAGTTAGAAGTTCAGGGCAAAATGCCCTCAGCCCCTACAGAAACCGTCAAAACCCCTCCCCAGAGCAGTACATTTGTTACAATTGATGAACCTCTGACAGCATTAGCACCCGGAGTCGTGGTTTACTTTAAGGTTCACCCTAGTTGTACAGTTTGTGGGTTTAACAAATGACCCTTTGTTTTAGCAAGAACTTTTGAGAGTTGCAGAGAACTAAAATTAGGGTTATCATTTTTAAAAAGCTTAAAAGGATAGCTGAGGATGCAGCCCAGAAGTAGAGGAAGCCAGATGCCCTGGGTTTGAGCCCCAGCTTCACAATAAAAAAAAAAAGGAAATATTTGAATATCTTAAATAATTAATTTCTAAATACTGTAGCATTTCATGTTTTAAAATTGGGTGTTTGCGCTCTCAGCTTCTACATTTGAATTATCAACAAAGAATAATTTTTTTTTGTATATTAAGAAAAGATGAGGGAGGAATGTTTTGTAGAATAACTCCCTTTTTAGGGCCGGGGATTTAGCTCAGTGGCACCGCACCTGCCTCACAATTGCAAGGTCCTAAGTTCGATCCCCAGTACCAAAACAAAAAAAAAGAGTAACTTTTTTTCATTGCTAAAACTTACTGGCATAACAGTATGTTTTCTGAAAAATTTGTACGTTAGCCAATTAGGCAAGAAAAACATAAAATATTTTAAGTGCTGTACATTAACTTCCTTTTATTGATAATCAGTTATAATCAGATATAATCAGATAATCAGACATAATCAAGTATGTCAATAAAATGTGATTGGGTAGATTCTTTTTTTTAAAAAAGTATTTTTCTCTGTTTTGAGGGACTTTTGTGGAGGAAGCAGATGAAATACTGCACTCAGCTCAGTTCCAGATTAGAACCCAGTTCCTCACTCCTTGGCTCTATGACCACAGCAAGATGTTATCTGAACCTGTTTCCTTAGCTGTGAAAGAGGAATAAAAATAACACATTTTGCTTCTGTCTTCCCAGAATTGTAAGAATCATTTTTTTGTGTGTGTATTTTATATGCCATAATCCACTGTAAAATTGTTAACAGTAGTCACCCACTGTATTTTAGAATGCTGTGGGTATAGTTCATTATCTGGCGAATGCTGCTTGTGTAAGTACTGTTGACAGTTTTTTAAGGATTGGTTGTACAAGAGTACATTGTTTATGAATTATCTGGTTGGCTCTTCTAAGTCAGAGTTAGAATTATGAAACAGGATTGGAGAGACGTATGTATTGCTGTGATCAACCTGTGCCCTGCCTTTTTCTTTTCCTTCCTTCCTTCCCTCCATTCATTCATTTATTTACTTGTGAAGAGGAATTGTCTTAGGCTGAATATAAAAATATATAATGTAGCTGGGTGTGGTGGCGCTTACCTGTAACCCCAGCACTTGGGAGGCTGAGGCAGGAGAATCGCTGGAGTTCAAGGCTACCTTGGGCTACATAGTGAGATCTTATCCCCAAAAAATATATATATATATATATATAGAGAGAGAGAGAGAGAGAGAGAGAGTTCAGTTAATATACCTAAGTACAAAATTTACTTCACTGTAATGTTTTTATTATAATATTTAAAAGGGGACCCAAAAAAAGGGGGCCACAGGTTGGACACAGCTGGTAGGAAATCTTTTACCGTTTTTCTGGATTCTTGTATCAGTGGGTGTGCTTAAGGGTCTTCTAAGGGTCTGTGAACCCTGGGTATGCTGGTCTTTTCTGGGGAGACGATCAGCTTCAACAGATGTTCAAAAGGAGTTTACGGACCTCTCTCCTCACCCCCCGCCAAAGGGTCATAAGAACCACTAGCTTAAACTAGGCACATTTCTTTACTAAAAATTTTGCAGATTATTTTTTAAATTCATTTTGGGGGAAAGAAAGATGAACAGGTAATTTCTGAAGCATTGAATACCCTCCCCCTTTGCAGAAGTAGATGTTTTCATGATACAGCAGCTTCGTTAGAATAGTAGTGCTGTATCTTCTGTCTGGGGGTGACACACTGATTGATCCTTTATCATTAGATAGCAACCCGTTCCTCACTTCCTGCCAGCTTTGATGGGGAATAGAATAGATGCTAAATAAGACTGCTCTTATGATCCAGCATGTTTGAGTACTTAAACTTTCTTGTTTCTGGGACAAAATACCTAACACCTACAGTTAGAAGAAAAAAGGTTTATTTTAGGTACAGTTTGTAGAGGTTTCAGTCTGTTGTTGACTGGTTCCATCGCAGGGCAGCATGGCAGAGGAGAAGCAGTTCATGAAGAAGCAGGCAAGAGAAAGCCAGCCTTCCCTGCTTTCCCTTTCTATTCCATCGGACTGCAAGCTAACTGGTTGGTGCCACCCACACCCACAGTGGGTCTTCCCTCTTCAGTAAATCCATTGTCCACACCCAGAACTATGCTAAACCAAACAGTGGTCTAACTCAGTATCACACCCATGATCTAGTCACTCCCCAAAAGCCCCACCTATGAGTACATGAGGCTTTGTTGGGGGGACATCTAGATATAAGCTATAATTTGGCTTAAATTGCCAAATTTGGCTAAAAGACAATTTGGTTTATTCTAAAATCTGGACTTTTTTTCCCCTCAACAATGCACCAAGTACTAAAAAAATTAAATATTTTTATCTTCCAAACTAGATGATATTGATATGTCTATATATTATTTCTTGGATATCAAAGATTGTTATGTTATACAGTATTAAATCCTAACCAATGATCATTTTGGCTTTTAGTATAGCTAGTGTGGAGAGAATCTAAATATATATGTTTCTTAGAAATTTATAAACTTATATGGACTGATTGTAGTTGGTGGCTTTAATTTATAAGTTTTATTTGCATTTTTGCAATTTCAGAACCGGAGTATTCATTCTTTAGAGTTTGGAAGTGTAACTGCCCTGTTTTCCTTGTGCAGTCAGAGGCTGCTGGCCTGTGAGACTTAACAGCATGGAGCCAACTTTGGTTACAGTATCAGTTACCAGTGGCCTTCACAGGCTTGGGGAGCAAGGTGGATCAAATGACCCTGTGCAGACCCATGAATGAGACTCTATGGGAGAAATATTGTCTTTTCCTGGAGTTCTTTTTCTTGCCTTTGTTGTTAGTCATTATTTTTGTTTGAAATCTAAATGCTTTTCAATGTTCTAAATCAATACTTGGGAAATTATAGAATACATTAGCACAATTGTGGCTCTTCAGACTTGCTCTTCCTAAAAATAGTCTTGAGAGTTGATCAATTAGAAGTGAATGCTAGCGTTTACATATAAAAGATTGTCATTACATTGCATCTTTGTTTGTTTTTTGTTTTTGTGGGTTTTTGTACTGGAGATCAAACTCGGGTCCTTGTGCTTGCGCAGCAGGTGGCAAAACCACTGAGCTAAATCCCCAAGTTCTTTTTTTTTTGGTACCAGGGATCGAACTCAGGATCTTGTGCTTGCGAGGCGGGCAGTGGAACCACTGAGCTAAATCCCCAGCCCTACATTGCATCTTTAGTCATTTTAGTGCAGAGGGTTGCTTAACTTCAGTAATGAGTGAGTTTAGTTAGTTTTGTATGGGAAATAAAGGGTAATCATTTCAGCAAAAAAATAAAAATACCCATGGGAATGCTATCGTTTTGAGATCAGTGATTTTTATGGATATTCTCCTCTTCAGCCTTAAAAAATTCTAAAACATTTCCTGCAAGGTGAGCACTTGAGTTCTGGCATAGTCGCTTACCCCTATAGGCACCTCCACACAGAGTTAGGGTTGATGCCATCTTCTTTTGGCCTAGTTATAAGACTTGAACTTCTGTAGTCAAGCATATATATATTGGACCCTGAGCATTGACATTTAGCTCTGAGACTTTGGGACAGTTTCCTACCTTCCCTGAGCTTTTTTATCTACAACTGTAAAAAATAGGAATACAGTGATAACTCAGTTGTTAAACTCAATTCATTCCAAATTCATGTTTGAACTCCAAAAGTTTGAGAACTGAATATATTTTTCCCATTAGAAATAATGAAAAGCCAAATAATGGGTCAAGGCCCAAAAATTACACTTGTAAATTCATTTCTCCAGGACTTTAACAAATTTTGCAATGATTTCTTTAACTCTATCATGGTTCTTACAATTTCCCTCTTACCTTTACTGAAGGTATCACTAACTTTCTTTGGAGCCATGGTTATGGTACTTTATGCAAATAAAGTGCAAAAAGAAGCATAATGACAGATGTTTTAATGCACTAACACAAGCCCTGTATGAAGCGTCACCCCTTTGTGTCCGCAGCAAGACTCAGTGCATGATTCACTCTTGGCCCAGGTTTTTTCAAGTCAGATTTTTGGTTGACTGTCAAGTAAAGTTACCAACACCAAGCAGATTTTTTTTTTTTTTTTTTTTTTGCTGTTTGAGTAGTGGAAAGTTTGAGCTTGGAGACTCGACAACTGAGGTATCATTCAGATTGTCCTGAAGATTGAAATGAATACATGAAAAGTGTAAGCCACGATAGCAGTTAGATAGATAGATAGCTTATGTGCCAATTTACCAACTCATCTAAGCTTTATAAGAATCCTATGAAGTTGGTAGTTATTTTCCTCGTTTTTACAGATGAAGAAACTGGAATAAAGCTAAATGAAAATTTACTGAAGTCAAACTAAAGTAATGAAACTTAAGCAAAGTCATATGATCCATAAATAGATAGTAAATACACAAATATGCTAGCTGTTAGTTAAAAAAAGGCCTTTTGCTATGGACGGTTCTTCATAATTGCGTGTTGATGGATTGTGTTCCTGATCAAGAACTCAGAATTACATAATTTATAAAAGTAATAACGTGGCTATTGAGTTTGAGGCCAACCTGAACTACACAGCGAGACCTTGTCTCAAATAATAAAGTAATAACATCTATTTACTAATGCTTATTGTATACTAAGTGCAGGGCCAAATACTTATATTACTTCATTTAATCTTCACAACATTAAAAGAAAGCTGAGATTCAGAATAATTTTAGGTGACTTACTTGAGCCTAAACAGCTAATAGAAAATCATAAACTAACTGGCTGTAAAGTCTCTTGTGCTTAAAAAACAAACAACAAACAAAGGAGATAACAGCTGGCCCTGGTGGCATGTCTGTAGTCTCAGCTGCTTGGGAGGCTGAGGCAGGAGCACTGCACATTCAAGGCCAGCCTTGCCATTTAGCAAGACCCTGTCTCAAGAAAAAGGGCTAGAGGTGTAATTCTGTGGTAGTGAGCCCCTGGGTTCAATCCCTAGTAAGTACCACAAAAAACATAATCACGGCAACAGTTTTTTTGGTACAGGGATCAAACTCGGGTCCTTGCGCTTGCAAGGCAGGCGGCGAAACTACTGAGCTAAATCCCTGGCCCTTGGGCAACAGTTTTTGTACCTTTTAAACAGGAACAGAAGTATTTTTAGAGTTGAGAACTAGAAAGAAACAGCAACCTAAACCCAGGGTTAACAAACTATAGGGTAAGTCTAGCTTATTACCTGCTTTTGTAAAGTTTGATTAGAACATAGCCATGCTCGATCATTTATGCATTGTCTATAACTGCTTTCATGCTATAATGGCATAGCTGAGACTGTATACCCTGAAAAGCCTGAAATATTTACTGTTTAGTCCTTTACTAGAAGATTGCTGACTCCTAACCCAGATCAATCTTGTTCTCATGAGGAACCTGAGACTCAGAGATTAGATAGCTTCCCGATAATGTAGTCATTAATAGTAATCCAAGTCATTTCTGCTATAGCATCCTATCTCTTTCTAAGTCCTGTAAAGTCAGCAGGTGCACTGTATGATCGTTTTACAAGGACTTTAAAGTGCTACAAAATGTGTGACATTTATGAATATTTAACCTAGTTAAAGCTGACATGTTCACTATAATAATAGTAAACATTTATTCATCTCCCTTTCTGTCCTAGAATTTGAAGAGCTTTGTGCTGTGTATGACCCATGCCTTAATGTTCTGTGGCCCTCTTTGAACTTCTTCTAATAAGTAGAGGCTTTAGAAA